CCGTTTTGCGGCATCACATCGTTGTGTGCCATATCTAAACTGTTCGAGTTGGTCGTTATGGAACCATTAGTCTCTCACTTCAAGCAGCACTTGAGCGAAGACCAGCATGGTTTCATGGCAGGGCGGTCGACTACTTCCAACCTTCTGTGTCACAACTCATACATTACGGAGAGTATGACAGACCATATGCAAACAGATGTCATCTAAACTGACCTATCAGCCGCCTTCGACAAGTTGAACCATCCTATAGCGATCACCAAACTGGATAGGCTCGATATAAACGGCAGTCTCCTACGATGGTTCGCATCGTATCTATCTGATCGTCAGTTGGAAGTTGCAATCGACGACTGCCGATAACCTTCGTTCCCAGCCACTTCGGGTGTTCCGCAAGGTAGCCACCTCGGCCCGTTGATATTTCTTGTGTATTTCAACGACGTCAATTTCGTCCTCGACGGTCCACGACTGTCGTTCGCAGACGACATGAAAATCTATTTCCGAATCCGAGCCATCGGTGACTGCCACTTTCTCCAAGTCCAACTCAACGCTTTTGCTAATTGGTGCCAACTGAACCGCATGGTTGTAAATCCAACAAAATGTTTAGTAATCACGTTCTCACGGAAGAAACATCCAATTACATTCAGTTATATCCTAGAAGGCGTTGACGTACATCGAGTGAATCACATTAAGGATCTGGAAGTCACCTTAGATTGTCAACTCACATACAGCCAGCATATCTCGTACGTGATCGTCAAGGAATCCAGAATTCTCGGCTTCATTTTCAGGATAGCTAAAAGTTCCACGGACATCTACTGTTTGAAGTTGCTTTACCGCTCCCTTGTCCGGTCGGTGTTAGAATACTGCTGCCCTGTATGGAATCCCAATTACCACAGAGAAGAGTCTATTCAACGACGATTCATCTGTTTTGCCCTTCGACGATTGCCTTGGAGGGATCCTCATCGCCTTCCAAGCTACGAAAGTCGGTGCCAGTTAATTCACCTGGATCCTTTCTAGAGTCGAAGAGATACGACAAGGGCCCTGTTTGTGGCAGACATTCTACATGGCAGAATCGATTGTCCTTCTATTCTACAACAAATCGACGTTAACGTTCAACCACGAGCACTCCGTAACAACGCAATGCTGAGGATACCTTTTCGTCGTACAAACTATAGTTCGTATGGTGCTATCAATGGGCTACAAAGGGTTTTCAATCGTGTTGCTTCCTTATTTGATTTTCACTTGGCACGCGAGACGCTGCGTCAGAGATTCCGTGGTATATTTTTAAGAACTAGGAATTAAGTTGGACTTCACGGCTTGTTACTTGCAGCTTGTTACTTCTTGACTATATTTCCTAGTATTGCTTAATCCATCATTAGGACTAAAACCAGTCTGTTGATGTAGAACCAAATAAACAATAAACAGTAGATTCGTGGTAGTAGATCGACAGGATGTGAAGCCATGTTGATCTTCGCTTGGAAACTGCTTGCAATGGGAGAGCAGAGGCTCTATGATGACTAACTCGAATAGATTAGAAATTTCGCACAACGATGTAATTATCCACGTCCCATTTACTAGGGGTAAGAGGGGCATAGTGAACATCCCGTGCACCAGCTTGAACTTCCGGCCGTTCGGAACAAATTTGTTGGTGGTAGGATCAATATCACCGACAAACCGACATGACACTTAATTCTGACTTATGCCCGGAAATCGTAAACGGCCGATTTAAATGTGCAGTGATCCGAACTGTCAAAACCATAGGATTCTTTGATCTAGATAAAAATCATTTGTCCAAAATAGATCAGACACGAACCAATTCATAACTTTTGAATGCGGGTTCATGACTTAGCTAAATATTTCCCACGAACACGGAGCCAGACGTCAGTAGTGTGCTTTGGTCAGAAATTTGATTGTTTTTGCTATGTTCATTCATGTCGGTTTGTCGGTGTCAATATCATAATGATATTGAATCTACTACCAGTTGATTTGTTTCATGCAGCTGAAGATCCAGAGCCAAACTGCGGGATGCTCATTATACCCCACCTGTTCACTATGCCACTCTTACCCCTACCCTTTTTATAAAGAGGGAACATATGCACAAATTTCCAGCTTGATGGAAAAATGCCACACGAGATGGACAATCGGAACAGGTCAAGGAGATTCGGTACGGTAACAAAATTACTACACAGTAAAGAATTGTACTGTAATCATGATCTTCAATCATCCCTGGCTCTTCCTGAGAACTTTCTTCAATCTAGACTAAATGTGGACAAGTGTCCCCGTTCAAATTCAGTAAAACTATTCATAGGATATATTTCAAAATATACAATGCAGATCTTTGATTGTTGTTAATGGCAATCAATCTCTTGAAATCAGTTGATCGATTAGATGTGATTTATTGATAGTTGGGGCTGTCCATAGTTCATGTGGATAGTTTATGGTGGAAGGGTTCGCGAGTGTACTCAGTCCATACACATTTTTTTAGAATTGTCTACACGGTGGGGTCTAAAGTATCTTAAATAATTCTGTCCACGCGTCTATGCATCTAATTTAGAAAATTTTATTGAAATTGATATTTATTATTTTAGCCTATAGCATACCACAATGCCATACAAACATATCCCATATGGTCTAGTGGCTAGGATATCTGGCTTTCACCCAGAAGGCCCGGGTTCGATTCCCGGTATGGGAAATTTTTTTGTTAATAAGGCATTCCATGAGACAGCTGTCGTCAGCTGATTTTTTTGTTTACCGTGAAGTTTTGACAGTTCACAGTTGAACTGACAGATCTTTCCCGTTGAAAATAGCTTTGTTTATAAATCTAGCATCGGCTACGCCTGATCACTCACACACTTTTCAACTGTCAGGTCAACTGCGAAACGTCTCATGGATCATCTTATAGCTCCCGACATTGTCTGACTGTTTTTGTGAACAATTAGTTCAATCACAATTTCTCACGAATAAAAGTTCGATTTCGCAAATAAACTATACCAACTGCTAGAAGAATCACTCCCCTGAATCCTGTAGTTAGTTTGCGAGATTGAACGTTTATTCGCGATAAATCAGTGCTTGAAGTAATTGTTTACAATTACAGTTACGCCTAAATGTCAAATCAGTCCGTTACTGCAAATCCTAGCACTATTCTTTAATTTTTATAATCTAAGCCTGTGCAGTAGCACAATGTCATGCCAGTTAACTCGGTTAGAGGCACCTTATGCATAGAAGCATACTAATTTAAAGTTCAACTAACCCACGATAAGACAAAAAAAAGTCCCAATCAAACAATATAAATAAAGTACCCTCGATGTAACAAGCAACTAAAAAGACTAGCAAATCAAATCTCACTTACCATCGAAATGCATTATAGTGAAAGTACACCAGTCCCAGCCCGTACAGGAACGCCGGATCCTTCCAGTGGTCACTTTTCAGCGAGTAAAACTTCTGATAAGCCGACAGTGCTAAAATCGAAAACCGGTATCTATTTTTAGAACGACCTTGAACTTGAACAAAAACCCCTTTCGGAACGCGCGCGCACGCAGTTCTGTCTCCGAAACCTACCTTTCTCGTAATCCTCCAGCAACAGGTGAAAATGACCCAGCTTACAGTACGTCTTCGGATCGATATTGATATCCTTCACCACGGCTACTGCCACTTCACCACCACCCGCGCATTCCGTCCGATCCCCCCCGACCGGATCCGAACTCTTCCCCGTCACTTTCGCGTCTTCTTCACCCGATTCGGTCTTCACCACCTTTTCCGACAGATCTTTCATGTCCACATCGGACATGATATCTGCGGGAAGATGTTCATCCACCTTCATCGCGTCATCAGCGCCGCAGCCGTCGTCACCACCGCCGCCGCCACCGCCAGAGGAGTTGAGTTCGGTTTTGATTTTCACGTCCGATTCCGAAGGCGACGACGAATCGGATGACGCTCCATCCGTCGAGGCTTTGCTCTGTTGCTCCTTCTGGTTCTGAGCCTGGATCAACATCCGCTCCAGGTACTTGACGGCCTATAATGTAAGATTTTTCCGGTTAGGGTTTTGGGACTGGCTGGGGTTGGAATAAACTACGATTACCTTCAACACAAGAACCTTTTTCTTCTCATTTTCCAAGGCCGATAGCTTGAGGAATCCATATTGGCGGCTGGAAGAGAGAGTGATAAACAATTTGGGTGATTAGAATAATAATTCAATACTCAGTTATTGATCGCCAACTGAATCGAATCCCGGAAACGTTCGGTACAAACATAACCGGGCTCCGTCCCAGCTCGCGGAAGATCCGACGATACGAACCTGTCGAGCAAAGCCAACGCTTGCAGCTCCTGGGTGGAGATGTTTATCTCGTCCAAAATCATCACTTCCGACGCTAGAATGTTCAAACCGCGACGCGTCCGAGAGCTAGCACATTATTCGCACCGACGAAACCGGATTACCGAAACGATTTGGCCACTATTTTCCACGATAAACGCACAAAACTCGCCACAAATTCCCGATCCGCGTACGAAGAAAAACACTTTGGAAAACTGAAAAACTCTTCGACGATTGGTATATACTAACACAAGCGCACGCTTCCAGATCCCAGACACGCTATTTCAAAACAACCCAAATTTGAGTAGGATACACTCAGTTCGATCAAAATTGAACATACCCAAAAATTGGTAAACTAAGTTGGGAGTGACCAGTTGACAAATGAACAACATCGATTGGATTCAGGTCGATGTTGTCCATTTGATAACTTGTCACTCCAGCTTAGATTACTCATTTTTGGATAGGTTCAGTTTTAATTCATCTAGGTGGACTTTACCCAAAATTTGTGGAAGTTTTGAAATAGTGTGCAGAGTGATAATGACAGCTGAAACTGTTCTACGGGCGCCTTGCGAGATGCGAGCCGTGCTATCTGGCTGCGTACCGCAATATGTCTTTCATATCGACAAAAAAAATCGGACCAAAAAGTCGAACTTCATGAAAACAACCAAGATAATCATCGTCCGACGTCGTCACTCGGTCAGAAATTAGAAAAATAATTATAACAGAAATTGTCCCATTTTCTCCTATAAATGGAAGCCCAGCCGTCGGAACCAGTGCCGGAAGCGCAAAACTCGGATCCAGTCGATTTGCTAGCAGCGCGCCGAGAGGCACGAAGAAAACGCATCCTCGAAAACTCCAACAATCGGCTGACCAAGATAACAGGTCGAGAACACAATGAACCGCCTGCAGGTAAGAAGATTTCACCCCCTTGTGATCCCGAATCATCACCGATGACTATTTTCAGAGGATTTCACCGTAAAACCACCGGAGGTCATCTATCCGGACCCGGAAGTCGAGCGCGATGAATACCTGCAGCCGGAACGGCAACCGTTCGCCACTGCCTTACCCGGAGGATTCCCATTGGCCAATGGTGACATATTTTCCCTCCTAAACCTGCCTCTCGGTGCAGATCAAAGTGGCCCTATGCCCACTCAGCCACCACCGCCACCGGTACCGGAGACGGCACTAGTTAAATTCCTTCGTACCCGGGTCCACCTGGCCGTGATGGCCATAGTCATCTATCTGCTGTTTGCCATCGATCAGCAACACCTGATCGGCGGCAATGTCTTTATTCTGCTGCTCGGCTGGGAAATGGTGGAGGTTTTCCTGCTGAAAACCTACGAAACCAGGACGTCCTTTCTGGATGTCATCTTTCTGTTGGGAGGAATTTCCAAAAAGTACTCGCAAATCATCCTCAAGTTCATCCAAACCATCAACAAGGTGCTGAAGGACGTGGCGTTCTTCGTATTTTTCTTCGTCCTGACGCACCTGCTGTGGAGCCGGCTGGTGCTGGGGATCGAGCTGGGGTATGTCCTCGGGTACGACCAGCTGGAAAAAGGGCCGGATGTCGGTTCGTAGGGCGCCAATCGTCGGTACAAGGGTAAGTCTTAGGGAACTATTTATTTATTCGTTTTGATCGTGGTGGAGAGGGAGGGAATTATTGAAACATTTTTGTTTTCGTTGATTTTGGTTTTTAATCTTTGGCAATTGATGACGATTTTCAAGTCAATATATAAACATAAAGCACATTCAGTTTTCGTTGTTACGTGAATTCGTCGAGGAACTGTTCCCAGTCCGGTAGGAAGAGGCCCGTCAGGAGTAGTTGGTATGCTGTTGGGCAGAAGATGGAGAAGAAGAAGAACAAAACAAACCAATATATACTAAACTAAGTTAACTCGATACTAAGCTTAGGACTAATAACGGGATAAGCCTACTGGCTATGATGCTTATGACGCTGGATTCTAAATGAACTGAAGCGAACATTTTGGATTATGTCGTATGCAAAAAAAAAATGAGGCTTTCCGTTAGTCATCCGAACGTTCCTGGGCACTGGTTGTATAATTCCTACTTATTTAAGACCGTTGGATTTACGTCAAAGAGATAAACAGTCATCCTTCACCAAAAGTATCAACTTCAAACTGATTTCGTGTATGAACTACGGAACATCAGCTGGTTATGAAATCCGTAACAGTCCTATCCTATTCTATCTCTTCACCTCGCGGGTAAGATCGTGAGCATTATACCAAGATACACAAATTATTCTGCTAGTTCTCCGATCGGCGATCATGAACTAACATTCGTTTTGGTAGAGTTAAGCGTGTGCCCAATCCTTGCTGTTGCCTCCCTCTTAAAAGGCTCAAAAGCTTCTTCCACTGCTCTACGACCAATTGCGATCATAGCATTATAACCGAAATGCATGGCCAAAAACAATAAAATTTCTAACCAAAGCACACTACTGACATCTGGCTTCGCGTTCACGGGAAATATTTAGCTAGGCCATGTACCCGCATGCAAAAGATATGAATTGGTTCGTGTCTGATCTATTCTGGACAAATTATTTTTATCTAGATAAAAAAAATCCTCCGGTTTTGACAGTTCGGATCACTGCACATTTAAATCAGCCGTTTACGATTTTCGGACATAAGTCAGAATTAAGTGTCATGTCGGTTTGTCGGTGGCACTATCGTCCACAAAACCAAAGAGTATTAGCCATGACTTATCTTCGAATAAAATCTTCACTTCGTTACATCAAACGAACATGTCGTTCATCCATCATATAGTTAAAGTAGGTTAATGGATCTTGTCATCGTTTCAAGCCGAAAACCTTGAACCGATTCAAGACTTCCTGGAATTTAGCGGTTAGAGAACGGGCAGTTCCACATGGTTCCACCACCGACAAACCGACATGAATGACCTTACAAATTACCATGACATTTCTGATCGAAGCACAAAACTGGCATCTGTCGCCGTGTTCGCGAAAAATGTGTCGTGTCTAATCTATCGCGGACAAATCATTTTTATCTAGATACAAAGAATTCTATGATTTTGACAGATGGGATCGCTGCATATTTGAATTGGCCGTTATGGATTCTCGATCAAGAGTTAAGTTTAAGTTTCATGTCGCTTTGTCGGTGGGTCCACGCCAAATGACGAATCCGAAAAACTCGATCACCAACAAACCGACACGAATGACCATAGCTAAAACAATAAATTTTCTGACCAAAGCACACAACCCACACAACTGACATCTGGCTCCTATAGTCGCTATATTCATAGTCTGGCGGATAGAATCTCCGCAAATAGCGGAACCAATCGAACAAATCACGACCAACAACAGAAAAGAGCACATCAGCGATTGCGAACAAAACTTCGGAAACCCTTTTCTCGTGACTCAAGGCTCGCCTACGCAAACTAACACCATTTTTGGGTTGGCGAAAGTTTCCCCTATCCGATAATGCCGGTAATTTGCGTCACTGCACATTTAAATCGGCCGTTTACGATTTTCGGGCATAAGTCAGAATTAAGTGTCATGTCGGTTTGTCGGTGCCCTATCTTCAAGTAGATGTCTGGAAGGAATCGAGGAAGATGCTGACAATTAACACGCACGAGGGAGTTTTTCCAGTTCAATCGTTTATCACCGAGAGTCAAGACTGCAGCTGGTGAGATCCAACACATTGTTGACAGCATGATTGCGGGCTTTGAGGACATGAGCTGTTACCTGGACGACATCATTGTGGCAAGCAGCTCACTGGAGAAACACATCGAGCTGCTTGATCGCCTGTTTAATCGCATCCAGGAGTACGGGCACCGACAAACCGACATGACACGACTTTATCTACGATGCAGAAAAGATTGTGTTTTGCTCTGGTTAGCTGCGCGCACGCTAAGTAGATAGAAAGAAGATTGATGACGATTCTGAGGATTTCCTGCAAAAAGATGATGCGCGATACAAGTAGATGTGAGAAATGAAATAAGATTTTTCGAAGATTGATTCACTAGTGTGAAATTTGTTGAGCATCTAGACTTGAAATTTAGATGTGTCGCCCCCCTTGCATGACACTTAATTCTGATCGAACTGTCAAAACCATATGATTTTTTGATCTAGATAAAAATAATTTGTCTAGAATAGATCAGACACGAACCAATTCATAACTTTTGCATGCGGGTTCATGTCTTAGCTAAATATTTCCCACGAACACGGAGCCAGATGGCAGTAATGTGCTTTGGTCAGAAATTTTATTGTTTTTGCTATGGTCATAGGGATCCGACAAATCGATCTGTGTAAAAATCTTCTTATCGGCCAGTTTAGCGAAAATATCTTGAGGCAATTACAACAGATGGTTCCAGCCGTTCAGTCCAGTGGAATAGTCGTCTGCACAGATCCTCACTCTGCCGTTACGTTTGCGTACGGACACGCTCGGAGCTGCCCACTCCGAATAAGAGACCGATGAGATGATCCCTAGGCTTTGTAGACGGTCCAATTCAACTTTAATATCGCTTTTGACGAAAAATCGGCTTGAGTGTGAACGACACATTTTTTTTCGTACAGGGTCCGCAGTGCGAAACCGAACTTTTTGTCAGTGCGAACCTCAACCTGAGCTAGGTTTTAAAAACAAACGAGCAAACTGACGTTTGTCAGAAAACAAGCAGACCCAATCTTGATACCCGATCCAGGTTGGAACTGAATAATAAACGAATTCGCTATTAGTTCCAAACAGATTCAGATCGTTTGCTATGGAGACGAAACACCCTTCTTGCTTGACAAAGTCGTTGAGCGTGGTGGTACAGGAAAAATCCAGTTTGAGGTCCATGTCGTCACCAGAAGCGTTCACTACTTTGATGGATGGCGGTTACCCGGTGGTTGTTGCTTGTAGACGTTCGCTGAAATCACACTGAAGTCTGCAGCACTATCCAAATGTAGTCTCGGTGGTATTCCGTTTAGTTGAATAGTGATAAATTTCCTTCTACCTGCGATGCTGACTTGGTTCACAGAGTAGATACCCTGCGTCTTTGATGTTGTCTAATTGTGCTTTTTCTTCTTCCGTATAGATTGGAGTTGAAACAAGCACAATGTCCTTCCCTGTGACCGACTCATGCTGACAAAATTAAACGGAAGCTGTTGGGATCACGCACCAACACACTCACATAAGCAAGCAAAGCAGCAACTACTTCAAAACGAGCACAGATGAGTGTCATGATAGTCGGGAATGACCAGATCGGTGATGAATCACCACCGCTGACGACATTCCCTAATAAAAAATAACCATAAACGAACGATAACCCAAATCATTGAACTATTCCACAAATGGTTTGGATGATACCCAGAACACGTCGTTAAGCAAATTAACCATACAATTTTTATTAGGGTACACTAGTTGCTTTTTACTTATTTCGTCAACTTGATGGATGGTCATGGAGAGTGCTTCGACAAGCACATTGATAGGAATGTACCAAGCGTTACTATCAACAATCAATACGAAACTATCGATTTTAAATGGGCTCACTACTTGACTAGCCTATTGGTCCCAAGCAAATCGATTAACGTACCTCATTCTAGTCGAAATTCTAGTACTACACAATGTTTGTTTTGATTTGCTATGAAAATTTGACAGATAAAATGAGGGGTTAGTGGATTTTCCTATGTTTCGAGGGGTGCATCGATTAGCTTGGGACCGAAGATAATCCCCCTTATTCTGCGAATCACGTGACTCTCTCTCTCACCGGTGAGGTGACAATTGTCACCTCGTGTGAGGTGACTCTCCATGCAAATCAAATGGAGAGTCACCTCACACGAGGTGACTATTGTCACCTCACCGGTGAGAGAGAGTCACGTGACTCTCGCAGAATAGGGGGGAATACCAGAGCTGAGCCAAAAAGTTGAGCACGTTTCTTCGGGACCTACTAGTCTTAGAGTTACCTCTATGTTACTACCATCAGCTGTTTGACGATCGTGATTGTGATAGGTTGCAACTTTGCTTCGAATAATGGATTTCCCCACATCTCCAACACGGCGAATTCGGAGTTTCGGATTGTTGCTGAACGGGCTGGGCGTTGCTATTGGCTCTTGGAGACTGCTTCACTGCAAATAAGGGGTTGGCTTGTTTCCCGTCTTCTCAATCAGTGTCGTCCCTCTTAAAATTCAGGAGTCGATGGCAGTCATCGGCGCAGCAGGATTGTCACTCTCGATTTTGGACAGCAGGGACGTCCGAATATTTGCATCTTTTGATGAATTCAGACCACAAACCAACAGCAAGCCCTTGAGCTGGTCCACGTTAATTTCGTTCAGCTTAAATTCCTCGCATTTCTCATTCACGACTCCCCAGCGTAGGTAAAGTAACCGTCCGATTGCTTCTTCTGAACTTGTAAGCACTGATATCTTGATGAAGAGCGATGTGTGTCTTCCAAAGATGGATGTCAACATCTTGACGGTCTCGTCGAAATCGATTTCCTTCGGCTTCTTCGGAAGTATGAAGCTCAGGTATTTCTTGTGAGCTACAGTATTGAGGTTCCACAGTAAGAGTCGGACATTGATTGGTCCATCCAGACTTCGAGCATCTTCAGCGAACAGGTCCTCGTATTTAACAAATGAAGGTAACTCCAGCTTCCACATCGTAGCAAAATTCTGTGATTCCGCTTGACAACGA